CCAACCTGGTTCTTCAGTATCTCCTGATCCATTAAACGATGAAGTTAACTTACGATAAGAGATCTACTGAAGTCAACTTTGGACCAGGAGACAAGGTATGGTTGTATAATCCCAGGAAGACCAAAGGGAAGTCTCCTAAGTTGTCTTCTCCATGGGAAGGCCCATACGACATAGTGGATCGTCTCTCAGACGTGACTTTCCGGATAAAATGTGGTCAACGAGGTAAGCCAAAAGTGGCGCATGCCAACAGGCTTTGGCGTTATCACGGTCCAGGACATTTCACTTGGGACGAAGTAGAAAACAGAACAAATGACACTGCTGAAGACGTGCCACCTGAAGAAGCCACCATCGAAGAAGAAACTCTACTCAGTTTTGAGAAGGAAAATGGTGAAGCTCTTGGTGAAGTTACTACCACTGATGTGACTGTTACCGATGATGGGACATTTACTAATGAAGTAGATGAACTCCACATGAAACAGAAGCCAACAAGACGGAGACCAGTACGGAAGAAGATACGTCCCGTAAAATTAAGAGACTTTGTCGAATTGTAATTTTATGTTTGTAATTCTGTACAGTTAATTAAGTTATTGTTAATTGTTATTGGTTTATTATATGTGGTTATTGTTCGGGACGAACAATATTAAGGAGGGGGCAGTGTTGCGTCAGCAGTCACATGACTACAGTGACGCAACGTTTCTAGAATTATCATGTACTTTGGCGAATGCTCTAGTATTTACTAGTAGGGTAGGCTGGTATATATATATAAGAGGGGAAAACTTGACGCGGGAGGAGAGGTAATGTGTGTATAGATAGTGAGTAATTGAACTGCAGTCACACGGTATTGTTGAAGTTAACGTTCGTTCGTTACAGTGTTGTTTTAGCGCGAGTATTGAGATTAAGTGTATCGCAGAGTTATATTCGGAAAGAATAAACCAGTTTTATTAAGTAAAGACTTGTGTCGCTTAAGTTTCGTCGAAACGAAGTTACGGAAAAATCAATTAACAAACGGAGACGTAACAATATTAAAAAAAGCACCTCATTATTATCCCCGGGGAAGCACGTGACAGAGTGATTATAATAAAATATATAAAAAGAGCAATTTCCTTACACTTTAGAGGTCCAAAGATAATAGAAGTAAGAAAATATAAATATGACCACGACAGGATACAAGGGTTCAATTATACATAAAAATTAAAATATTGTTGCGTCAGCGAGGTCACGTGACCAGTGTCACGCCACTTCTTTCTCGAACCTTCCTGAGATTACTAGATTGAGGGTAGTCTGGTATATATAAGATGGTGACAACGTGACGGGACAATGTGTAGGTAGTGAGTAATTGATCTGCAGTCAGAGAGTATTGTTGAAGTTAACGTTTGTTTTAGCGCGAATGTTGAAATTAAGTGTATCGTAAAGTTATATTCAGAAAGAATAAACCAGTTTTATTTAAGAAAGGACTTGTGTCGCTAAAGTTTAGTTGGAAAGAATTTACGGAAAAATTAATTAACAAACGGAGACGTAACAATATATCTTTTCACAATAACCTTAGCACGAGCTAGGACACCCCTTTCTATAGCACACTCGAAAATTATTTTTAAATACCTTTTATATGTTAAAACGGTCAAATGTCCTGGATGGTAGATGTATTCTGGAAATTTCTAAGATTACTCCAAAATGGGAGAGATTCGTAA